TTGAACCCCACCAGAGGGATGCGCCCATAATTTGAATGCCTCTGATCGATGGTCTGAACAACATTTGGTTACTTATTAAGTTTGTCTGACCTAAAGGGCTTGCTGTAATAAATGGGAAACTTTAAAGTTTCAAGTAACAAACCTATGTAATAATAAAATTACATCATTTACAGCAAATCTACGAGGCACGCACGCACATGATTTCTGTCAAACATCAGTGATAATACACTTCCTTCTCCTCTATGCCCCCCATCGGAGATTGCCGCTGTACACTTCAGTTTTTGATGACCATTTTTCCCCACTCTTATCCCATGTGCTAATTGGGCAGTTGATTAGTATTTTGTTTCTGGTCACCATTGTTAAGCTGTTTGCGTCAGTTGTAGCTCACTTTCGAGGCGCGTCTCTCGTTCCCAGGAGCTCACCTTGCTGACAGCGAGCTCTCTGTTATCCTGCCGCTTTACGTCATTCTTGTTGCCAGGATCTCCATCAGTAAATGTTCCTCAAGAAGTCACCATAGTTTTTGGCGGTTTTTGGCCAGAGGGGGAATTTCGGTAAGCTGCCCCCCCCCCCCCGTCGATACTCATGTCAGCTGTGCGACTGTAATCCTCAACTCTCTTGTCGTCTCACTTCTGGAAATCCTTTGCATCTGGAGTTTTCTACCCTCCAGAAAAGTAGACATGCCTTTCATTTTGTGGATACCATGCTTTTGTGATGGTTATAAAGGTTGGAGGAACACAAGCTGCATGTTCATATGTAAAACAGAGCTAATTTTAAAATTTATTTTAACATTCAGCTAATCAGTCAGTTGATCACTTGGTTAATTATATATATATGAATAATATTTCATGTATTTTTTTGTAAGTAAATGTCTATGTCTTGTACTCGATTTATCCAAAGGTGCTTTTTACTTTGACCAGAGTTTCTTATTCATATACAAATCCACATAAAATCAGCTCTGTCTAATGAAGACTGCACACATCATACTTGAATGAAGATATTGAAGATATTGCATGAAGGTAGTACGGCCCAGATGATGGTAACATTCTTTATGATCTTCACACAAACTACAGACTTCTGGCCTCGACCGTGAATTTGCCTAAATTAAACCAGTTGTTGAAACTGGTGTGACTTCAGTTTCAGTCACCAGTGGCTTAAGCTGAGAATGCAGGCTGACTAAACTTGATGTTCTTACAGCTGGTTGTAGAGCCTTTACCCAGAGCTGTGTATATAATTTTGGCTCCATGGGCCTTGAAGCTGCAGCCCCCTGGTTCCCATCCCACTCTGGAGCTGAGATAACCTGCAGCATCTCGCTGTTTCAGCTGAAGACTTCCCTGGGGAAAGGCAGAGCCTTCATCCGCTACTCCTTGTTCCACCAGCGACTGGCCGACACCCTGCAGCAATGCCTGATGAACCAGCGGGTCACCAGGTAGCCATTACAAGTCACTCTGCATGTCACTTTCTAGGTGCTCTGGTTACCACAGTGCTGGCTTCTTTCATTGGAGCAGAAACCACTTCATATGTGGTGATGGACAGGTGTATATATGTATTTGACTAAAGTTTAGCAAAATGGAAATGCAGCATTTGCTGTAGAATCAGTTTGCTGTGTAAGCTGCAGGCCAGAGCACACCAGTTTCACCAGTACATTTGATAGAGATTACAGAGTAATCTTCCATAATGTAGGCTGGGTGATCGCATAACACATAGAAGATGAATCCTGAATTCATTCTTTAAAGCACTGTTTCCCAACCAAATCTTCAGGCACCCACAGATGGCCCACGTTTTTGCACCCTCCTAGTATACATTTTTGCTCCCTACCTGGAAAAACATGGATTGTCTGGGTATCCCCAAGGACAGGATTGGGAACCATTGCTTTAGACAAACCAACACGATTTATAGAATTTTTGTGTGTCAGTTTTTCATATTCCTCATGAAATATTTTCTATGTCAGAGCCTTGTCAGAGAAGAGTCATCAGATTTTTCAGATTCGGTTTTTTCATATATTATAGTCTGACCATATTTCCATCTAATGGATATTAATAAAAATATTTCTGAGCAGAAACTTGTCCAGTATCTCCTTCCTTTATTCAGACTTGCTTCTCCATTAACTGCTGATCGTCTGTATCGTTTCCCTGTTCCTGTCGGCAGTGTGACTTGAGGGGCTTCAAAACATGCTTCTGTCCACGCAGAAGCTCTTTACGGTGTTTTATCATCTGCCCTTAAGGAGAAATGCAAACATAAGGTTAAACGCCTGGCTGATTAAATGTGGCACGCATGCAGTCCTCTTCAGGGCTTTTTCCACATGGTCCTGACATTTGTCGTCCTCTCTCCACGCAGCGACTGGTATTATGCTCGCAGCCCATTCCTGAAGTCCCACCTTGCAGCGGGTATCATCAATCACCTGTACGAGCTAAACGAGGTCCAGTTTGACGTGGCTTCCAGGGGCTTCGACCTGGACTCGTCCTGGCCCACTTTCGCCAGGTACAAAGGGGGGAGGGGCGAGGAACGCTTTCACGTTGAGGAGTCATTGTTATGAACTTAGGCGTTACCGGGTTTTTGCAAGGTTTTGGCCTAACCCATATACATTCTGTGGAAAAGCTCAGTATGCCTGGGGTTTGGCTAGATCTGCGCTTCGGGTTCAAGTGGGAGTCATGACGCATGGTGAGACGGGCAGGATGGGTATGGGCAGACTGGAAAGAGGAATGAGTGAGATCGAAGTTTGACACATGGTGTGCTAACGTCAAAGTTAACAGTAAGGAAACTGCACACTTCCCCTGGAGACGAGGCTGTAGGCGAGCTTCTGTTTTTGTAATGATCAGCATTACTTCTCCTTGTGGGCTGTAAGCTGGGTCATTGAAATGGCTGCCAATATCACAGCCGTTATACCAGTGATGGCAGGACGGTTCCTTGGGTGCGATCAGTGCCGTGTAATAAACACCGAATTGGTCCAGTGTGGTCGGTGATGTGGAACAAACGCCTAACTTTGTGGTAGTTGGTGTCCATGCTACAAAAAAAAACACACTCCTTCCAGCTCTACAGTGCATAACCACAGGAAGTATCACTTTGAGGTTCATCCCGACCTATATTGGGACAGACCTCAGCAATACCATGGTGCGCACATATCGCCCCCTGCAGGAGGACACTGGGATCGCCGGCCCACATGTGGAGGCCCCCCAGCCGCAGCTCCAGCATCAGCAGCCTGGTTAGCAGCTACTCACAGGTGGGTGCCGGTCCCCTAATACTGAGGAGTAGGACTGCGCAATATCACATTGCAGTTATGTAGCGCATGCGCAGCAGTCACCAGGGCTTCTGATGACAGGCGTAGACGTTTGTCTGGACGCTGACTTTTCAGAAATATACTGACAGAAGATTAGCAGTGTACCTAAAGTATCGATGAGAGGCATATTGTGACGTCCAAAAGTTAGTAATCTGTATAAATTTGGCCTATCCTTATGTTTTAATGAACGTGTCAAACTGTAAACTGCAGAAAGTACCACCACACCAGCGACATCATTTTTACCTTGTTAATCCACAGTATCTCCTGATTCCACAGATGTTGTGGCGGTTGAGCTGTCCCTTTCTTCACCTTCACTACAGTGCTCATCGCTGCCTATATACCAAAGCAGTAAATTTATACAGATCGCTAACTGTTGGGCGTCACAACATTACCTCTCATTAATAATTTAGGTGTACTACTTAGTAATCTGATTACTAAATTGTGGGCGTAAGAAAACGTCCAGATAGTACCGAAAAGATGGAGTGCGAACAATATGGTTATGCCCCTCATATGAAGCCTTGGTGATTTTTGCACATGCCCCATGTAATCGCAATTACATCATGATGTGATATCATGATATCTACTGAGGACTGGTAATCACCTTGATGGTGGCTGGGCTCGGGCTGGCCTTGCTCCATAGCTGTAGACAAATAGCTGTTTGCCAGTGTAAAAATGGCAATAATAAATAACACCTGCAGATGGTGCTGTTTACTCATATGACAAATAACAATACCTGTCAACCACATAATTTTAAAGCAGCCCAGACAGTGAGAGCTGACTGTCACACAGCATATTCTGGGGCAGACTGGAGGCAAGCTGATGACACTGTTTCGCTGTTGTTGACAGGTCAAAACGATGAAGATAAATGTTACAAATACTGACGTCCCCAGCCGATATCAAAGGTCGGAATCCGGCCCGATCCAGGCATTTTTAACAACAACAACAACAACAACAACAAATTTATTTTTGTATAGCGCGTTATCACAACATTACATCGTCTCAAAGCACTTTACAGCATCCCCACCCAAAGCCCCCAGTGAGTAAGCCAGAGGCGACAGTGGCAAGGAAAAACTCCCTAGAAGGAAGAAACCTTGGGAGGGACCAGACTCAATGGGGGAGCCCATCCCCCAGGGGCCGGCAGGGAGAGTCAAATAATTAACTTGATCAGTATTGGCTACCACAGCCCGATCAAAACCCCCATCTATTTAAGGTTCTGCATCCGCCTAATTTATGTCAGGTGCGCAGATTGTAAGGTTCCGTTACACGCTGCAGTAAGCCTGAGGCACATGGCTTGCAACTACCAACTATCGAGATATCAGCTGTGTGGAAATTCTTTAATTTGGAAACTCAACGTAGCCCAATAGTTACCTTCAATGATTGCGATGGCATCCGTTCAAGTTGAGGTAGCAACAGAACGTCGTTTAATTTAATCTAATTAGACACTTGCAGAAACATCATAAGGAATAATACTGCAAACTCACAATGCTTACTCAAACAGAGCATTACCAATGCCCACTGTTTGTGTATGTATATTTAAATATTTATTATTAAAAGATTGGATCAGGACTCGGTAGATAGAAATATTGAATGGATCAGATCGGGGTACTGGAAAAGTGGATTGGGACATACCAACTTATGATCATTGAGGTACTGCAGCTTTTCTATGACTCCAGTGTAAACTGCTCCCATTTCTGTACTGTTTGTGTGAGATCAGCCATTCAGTCACGGCCAGTTCCATGAGAATTGAGTTACACTCTACAGAGTGTTATTTTTGGGTCAGTTACAACAGCAGTAACGTTGGGTTGGGCTGTACATTGTTGTGTTGAATCCCTCTGGGGCTCTGCTGTAATATCATTGAAGGCACTTAAGGCACTTTCCCACCTCAGAAAACTTTTTCAGGAACCAGAAACTTTTTCAGGAACCATGAGTTCTGTCATATTTCCAGCACTGGCACTTGGCCCAGTTTTTGTTCCTTGGAGGTAGTTCCTGAGCCTTTTTTTAAGTCCTTTCCCCAGAGTACCTACCTTTCGTTTTAATATTTTAAGATTTAATGATGAATTACAAATGTGTCACAGGCCATAAAAAATATTTTAAAAATGCGATTTGTCCCGTATTTTTGAACCACATTACTCCCCCCCCCCCCCACAATAACTAACAAAATGTTGTTCACCCTCCATCATTTTGGGGTAGTGGTGTAGGTTTGTATGTTACATGTGAAGTTTAACCTATGAGCTTTTTGCGTGTAAGATAAAGGCCACTGTTCCTGTTGTGTGGTGGCCAACTGATACATGAAAGTGACCAGGAACTACAAAAGTTCCTGTTCGAGATGGCCCAAGAACTAGATTCTTGAACTTCAGTGGGAAAGTGCATTTAAACTGCCCCAGTATGAGAGACAGGAACTCAGAATAATAGTGTTAGCTGAATACTTAATTAAATATAAGCAATTCTGTTCATCTGGTTTGTGTTGTTTAACCATTGAGTCTTGTAGAGACCTGGTTGGCTTAGTGGGTCAGATTGGTCTCTGTTACCTTTCACAGGCCCCTGAGTTCGTATGCAGCCCTGAGCCAGGCCCGAGCTTCATAAGTGACCTGAGTAGCCTGACCCCCTGCAGTGCCGCAGAAGACCTGCGGGTGGAGCTGGACCAGTCTGAGCTGAGGCAGCAGGAGCTGTTGGAGCAGGTGGAACGGGCGAATGAGGAGGCAGCAGGTCTGCGCGCCCTAGTGAAGTCCCTGGAGAGCCAGCTGGAGGCCCGGCACCGCAGTGCCAACCAAAAGAATGATGAGCTCCTGGCTAGGCTTGATGCCGCACTAGTCGAGATGGGGCAGCATGCTGTTGGCCATCTAGACTATGCCCAGAAAATCCATGTGCTTCTGGACAAACTCAAGGAAGCAGAGAAGGCAAAGTTTGAGGCTCTGCGTGAGGCTGAAACAAGACGGCAAGAGGCAGATGGACTGGCTGAAGATTTGAGGCGTGATGAAGCATCGGGCTGTGAAATGGAGGAGATGCACAGTACCATTGAAAAACTGCAGGGGGCGCTAGCAGTTAAGGAGAAGGAGTCCCGCAAGCTTCAAATGCAGCTGCTTGACTTGCAGAGCTCCCTAGAGGCAAGGGATCGGCAGGTAGAAGAGCTGAAGTGGAAGTTGCAGGAGGAGAAGGGCAACCTTAATGTGCGACAGGGCAGTGATTGGAACGAGCTGGAGGGGCAACTCCATGCACTCACAAAGCAACTGGGGGCCGAGAAAGAGGAGCTGTCTGTCAGCCCCGAGATGGAGACGCAGGAGCAGAGTGTGAGCACTGGCCTGGTCGAGTCGGAGGCTGACGTGCAGCAGCAGCGCGGGAAGGTGGATGACTACAAGGCGCGGTGTGCCTGTCTGATGGAGCTCAATGACAGGATGCTCCAGATCATGAGCAGGAATAAGGAAACCAAGAGGGAGCTGACGGAGGTCCAGGAGGCGCATATGGGGGGGCAGGCAGCTGACACCATGGTTCAGGGTGTGATACGGAGGCTACAGCTGGAAAACCGGGAGCTGGGGGAGAAGCAGGGCATCCTGACAGAGGCACTGTCATCCACGCGGGAGGAGCTGCGTGCCATTGGCTGCCACATCACTGAGCTGGAGAGCAGCCTCACCTCCTCCAGGAGGAGTGAAGCCACATTCCGGGAGCAGTTGAAGGGGGCTGGTCTCTTAGAGAGCAGGGATCAGCAGAGCGAGGAGCTGCAGGCCGGGCTGCAGAGTACGGAGAGAGGTCCCTCCGCACTGGCACTGCAGGCACAGCTGGAGCTGCATGTGAAGGAGGTCTCCCGGCTCCAGACCGAGGCTGTGGACCTGCGCTGCAGGGTCCAGGACCTGGCAAAGGAGAAGCTTAAGGCCCAGGCCCAGCTGGAAGTGGCAGAGGCCTCCTGTGAGGAGCTGAAGTCCCTGACGGACCAGCTAAAGTCCCAGGTGGAGGAGCTGAACCGGCGGCATGTGCAGGAGATCCTGCTGCACCAGCAGAGGGAGGAGATGCTGGAGACTGAGGAGGAGGCCCACAGCCTGGAGAGCGCCTCTTGCAGGGAGGAGCTGGATGTGCTAAAGCAGCGTCTTGAGCGGCTAGCCTTGGAGCACGCCGAGACCAAGGCGTACCTGGAGAAGGCCACCACAGAGACGGCTGAGCTGGGCATCCGCGTAGGTGGCCTGACGTCCGAGAAGGAGGAGGCTTACGGCCGGCTGCAGGTACTGGAGCAGGAGAACACCAGCCTGCACAAGCGACTGCAGCAGGCAGAGGCTCTCTCAGGCACCGTGCCTCAGCTTCAGGAGAGGCTGAAGCAGGCTGAGGTCCGAGCAAGGGAGGAGGTGGACACTGTCAGGTTCCAGATGAGCGGTGAGGCCTTGACCCTCCAGAACCAGCTCCAGGTAGCAGAATCTGTCACCTGCACTAATACTGAGATTAAATTGGCATAGTGTAGATGCGTTGCTGGGGGAGACTGCTGAAATCACTGTGTAAATGTGGCAGCAGAAATTAATTGCATAACTTTTAAGGAACATGAACAGAAGGCGGTGGATGTGTCCCTCGTAACCCCATTACACTAATGTTGACAGTCGTCTGCGAAGGGGCCTCTATACACGCATGCCGAGTGATGCCTCGCCTCTCCCTGCAGTGTGCCAGTGGAGAGCTGGAGAGTGTCAGGCAGTGGCATGCAGTGGAGTTGGAGAAGACGCGTGGGCTGGAGGCCAGGCTATCCCAGCTGGAGGTCCGTCCCGTCCACAGGGACACCCGTGGCCATACTATGGCATTGGGCCAGTGTGTTTGGTCACACTCATTTTAGCAGACAAGCCTGTTAGTGCCCCAGCTTGAGAGACAGGGACTAATAGTGCTGCCTGAAAACTAAATGAAATATAAGCAAAGTTCTGTTGCTTAAAGAATCCTGCATTTCAGCTGAACACACTCTGCTGTGATTTAAAAAAAAAAATGTTTTACTCTTGTGTCAAAGGATGAAATTGGCAGATACTCGCAGCTGCTGGAGGAGAGAAACGTCCTTGTGGAGAAGTCGGAGTCCGTGATTCAGCAGAAGGGTGCAGAGATGGTCAGGCTGACTGAGAATCTGACAAGGTCTTAAGTTGCTTTATGTTATTCTGGAGGAGCAGCTCCCATAATTAAAGGATTGCATAAGCAATTTGCAGATTTAATGTTATTGTTAAGAAATTGTTAATTAATATTAGTGCAAAATTGATAGCCTGAACCTAACTGCTCTTGATGTCATGTGCATTACTGGAGACTTAAAAGGGAGAAATCCTGACTAAAGGATATCTCCATGCCACTGAATTGTTATCACCGATGACCAGCAGGTGGCGCTCACACACTTAGCAGGCGCCACTGTTTGTCTCCCCGCCAGCGCCGAGGAGGAGCTGTCCGCCACACAGGCCGCCTGCCGCGACCTGAGGGAGCAGATGGATCTCGCGGCTGCCGACAGGCGCAGCTGTGACATGAAGACCGCGGCCGAGATAGACGACCTTTACCGGACCAAGAAGAACCTGGAGGAGCGGCTCATCGAGCTAATCCAGTACATGCTGCTCCCGTGCCCATGTTGTGCTGCCATTTCTCCTGCTTTGAATTTGCCAGTTTATTAATTAACCCAAACTGGTGTCTCTAACCCAGGGACAAAGACGCCCTGTTCAAGCAGAATCTGCGCTCTGAGGAGCCGAATGACCGCGACGGCACCCACTGCCTCGGCTGCCAGGGCCAGTTTAGCTGGTGGCTCCGGCGCCACCCCTGCAGGTGGGTGGCAGTCAGTGGTGTCCCCGTTACAAACCCCCCCGCCCAAGGGCCCGTTTCATAAAATAGCTGAATCATCAGTACTTGGTGCTTCTTGTATGTGGCAGGTAGGGTGAGACACTCTTCCGCCAAAGGAAGCAGGGCTAAACAAGTAAGCCGTGAGAGATGTGCAGTCCCTCCGACCATGATTGTCTGTATCCCGGAGCTGGCCAGTAATCGGCTCTGCGGGCTGTTTGTCCCAGGCTGTGCGCCCGTCCCTTTTGCTATTACTGCAGCAACAGCGCCACCAGGATGTTGGCCAGCGGAAAGCGAGACCGCTGCTGCCGGGACTGTGGGGCCGCGCCGGGCCGCACCTCGGATCCTGACGTCGGCAGCCCCCCCAACACACCCAGCAGCCACTCCTCTCCCTACAGGCCAACACCCATTGGCGCAGGTGAACCAGTTTGGAAGCCGGTTTGCGTATCTGGACGTACCGACGTTTGTATCCCGTTGTAAGACTGTTCCTTTGATGCTGGCCAGCGACGCCGCAGTCACCTAAGGTGGACGATGGCGTGTTTGACATCATCTCAGAAGAGGAGGTGAATGAAGTGCATGACGGCGATTCCTTCTCTCAGGTGATGGAGGGCTCTCCTGAGCGGACGCCCGGCACGCTTCAGCCAAGAGCTCTGGACCTGTGAGTCATGTCATGCCGCACACGCGCGTGTATCTACGCTACCGCATGCGCACTGGGACGCAGGACCTCTGACATGTTTGCTACAGAACCCAGGCTGTAATCAACACTGATCACGTGCATAAACAAAAATGACGGTACTGTAGGTGTGTTGGTTACAGCATCCACGTTAAAGGATTATTCAATATGATATGAATGAGCTGCATTACCACGCCGCTTTGTTATCACTTTTTGAGAAAGATTAACGGTGACATTAAATACCTTGTTCTCTCCTGTCCGTAAGGCAACGGTGATGTTCCCAGAATCCACTGTCATTGCTTGCTTAATTTCAGCTGACAGAATGCTTGGGTGTCAGACATCCCTTTCGCGAATGTGTGTCTCCGGGGTCCAGTTTGTTAAGGGAACGTCTGTGGGCTACACTGGTTTCGTTCCAGCTGAGCTTTTTAATTAATTAGGCTTCATTGAGGATTAATCTCCCATGGGAGAACTCCTCACGAATACTTCCTGTCTGCTAAACGCTCAACGGAACATCAGGCTTATTTGGTCCTGCAGGAATCATTCATCCAAGTGGATAGGGGGCGCTGCAATTTTCTGAGCGACTGCATTTTGGTGGTGTTGATTTCAGGAGTAATAGTGTGGGAGACATGACCCTTGACGACACTGATGAGTTGACTCCTGTTGTCCAGGATGCTGAAATATACCTGCTAAAGTCTGGAGAACTCACGTGAGTTTATTTTCCTGTTTTTCGATGCTGTATGTCATAGCTGCCTAGCTATATGATATTTTTGTGTTATCCAGGTGACAAGTTCCCTCCGTTCATTAGTGTTCAATCAATTTGTAGTGATAAAATTATACTTCTGTACTTTTTTCTGTTTTTTACATTGACCAAATTTCAGATGTTTCTGGGATCAGTACATCACTGACCCAATGAGTTGATGTGTTCCATGAAAGTTTAGCTGAGTTTACCCATGCTTGTTTGAAACCTTGAGGTCTTCTTTCACATGGCTGTGTGTACAGTATTCTGTGGCCATGTACTTGATGGGAACAGAGATCCAAATCAGCAGTGGCCACAAAGGAATGTACATCCGTGACTGCCTTTCCCCAGGCTCCTGGTCCCCCTCAGCTTGGAGGACGTGGCATGTTTTGGCGAGACCTCCCGGGAGCTCTTCATTAAGTCCAGCTGCTACAGCTCCATCGCTATCACGGCACCTGAGGCTGGTCCTACCATCGCCTGGGTCTTCTCCTCCGAGCCCAAGAGCATCTCCTTCAGCGTGGTGCACAGACCAGCTGCTGACTCCCCCCTCGAGCAGAACAAGGTGAAGAAGTAGTCCGTGATCTAACCTGATGTCATAGATAGTAGTGGTGGTCAAATGAAGCTTCATGAACCATTTGCTGTATTTTTGCCCCACGACATTGTGCTTTTGGTTTGCTTTGGTGCATGCTTTGAGCCCCTTTTTGGGCAGAGAGCACCACCTAGTGGGGTTAGAAAATACAGCAAATGGTTCATAAAGCTTCATTTGGCCATCACATTTGTCCGGTACTGTCACAGTACTGTTGAATCTGGGATAACCTTTTCCTCGTCATGTTTTAAGGTTCTGATCCCGCTGACACGCTGTAACTCACACAAGGAAACCATCCACGGACAGCTGAAAGTCAGGAACCCAGGAATTTACACGTTCATTTTTGACAATTCTTTTTCCAGGTGAGGTGCCCATCTAGTCGTTTTTCCGACATTTTTTTAGCACAGTATCACGCTTTGTGTTTATGATATTGTTCTTTTCTTTGTTTTTGGTAGGTTCATCTCAAAAAAGGTCCTATATCACTTGATTGTTGAGAAGCCCGTAAAACACAATGGGAGTGAGCCTTCCTAATCACAGCCTGATACCTCCTGCTTCTTATTTATTGAACCTTGTACGTGTGCCAAGAGGCTGCTGGTGTTTTATTCTTAGCCACCCCCCCCCCCAAAAAAAAATACATGAAAACTGTTTAAATCACTGTCAGAGGAAACATTACACTGGAATTGTGCACGTTGCATTAACACACTAGTTCAGTGCTTACAAGAGTGTCAGGAGAATGGTGACATATGGCTTTAATAGGTAAAATGCCGCAATGTTAGGGTTTAATTATCATAAATCTAGCCCTGAGGGTAAGGAACACTATGTCTTTGTTTGATAACTGTGACTTTGAACTATATTATGATATGTCAGCAGGTATTTAACCAATATCAACCGTCGTCCTATGTGGCTTTGAAAAAAGGATGTCAACAAAAGATGCTTTTACTTTTGATTTAAACTCTGTTTATTGCTGGTGCAGGTCTCTCTCTCACAAACAAACTGAAGGAAGGTATCGATGTTGAGAAAACGAGTAGTTTGTGTTAAAATGCCACTAAGATATGCAGCTGTGATTTTAAGAAAGCATTGCTGTGCTTACAGAGAAACATTTAAATGTCATGTTGATGTTTGCTATAAGCCTATGCAGAACACCAAGTCGGCAGAGAAAGTGATCTGCTTATTTTTCCAAAGAACTACATTTAGTTTTGTTTTCTTCAAAGTGAAACATTGCACACTAAAAAGCTGATTAGTGTTTACTAATGACGCTTGTCTTTATCAGTAACCTCACCTGATTATTCCTGCTGAATGCTGCTTTGAAGAGATGATTATGCAGTTTTATATTTCATAAGGCAAATGCACTTTTTCATAGAATGAAGGATATTTTTAACCTAAATAATAAAAATTAAAGTCTCTCGTCTGATGGGAGAATTTCGAAAAGGCATTTAAGGCAAGGTTATGATGAGTCCCAGCCAGTCGCAGTCGTGGAGAGTCATGCCCTCTGTCGGCCAGTACACGGATGTTTCTGTGAGATATACAGGTCGTTCATCTCGGTAATTAAGATCACAGGTACCTCTGTGCCACATAAATCAAAGCTCTCGTAGGTGTGAGCGCTCTATGACAGAAATTCGGCACTCCGAGGTGACAGCCTCTCATAGATGAGAGGAATGTTTGTATCAGGAAAAAGCGTGACCAGTTTTGTTGGTACTCTCAAACATGTATATTTGGTACTGAAATAAAATGTCAAAATGCGCTTTAGTTTGCCATGATGTGTGTTTTCCTTTGTGTGTCACTCAGGAACATGTTTACCTGTTAACTGGTGGATAGTTACCCTACAGATCACTCTCTAAAGCCCTGATGGCCCGAGTAAACAGCAGCTGTTGAGGGAGAATGATTCATTTTAAAGAGGAAATAGCTTAATTAACAATTTAACAAGTACGGAGTCAGTGGTTGTGTCTGAATTCAGGAACTACATCCTTTGAAGGCTGCTGTTTCTGAAAGTGTGGCCTTTGTAGGCTCTGTCCTTTGAAGGTCAAACAGAAAGTGCTTAGGAATGGAACGGTCTGGCCTATGGATAATTTCTATTTGCATCACCAACTATTCCTACCCTTAGCCTTGAGTCATAAAGCGCTGCTCCTAGCTCCTATTGCCCTGCTGGGACACACTCAATTTACCTCTGCACGGTGAATCTTGGGATATGTTGGGCTGCAAATGATTCATCAGGTGAATTCTTCGCGACTTGGCAAAATGAAACATTGATAGACTGCGCTTGAAGGGGTGTTCGAAATGGGACAGCCTTGTCGCACTGCTGTGTCTCATTCAGTCTTAGAATGTAACCTTAGAAAGGTACAGTCCCTAAATTCGGGCATCCAATGAGTAAAAATAAACTGTAACGACTTCTCTTCTGATAAATTATGGGTAACCTGTAATGAAATTAAGAAGCACGGAAGGGAAATGCAATCCTTACACATGGCAGACAGCTGAGGCCCTTGGATAATAGAGCAGTTAGGGTGCAACCCTTTTCTACTCATGGAGTTTCCTCCTGGATGAGTGGTTTCAGTGCCACGGTGAGTGATCAGGACTAGGCCCTTGATGACACCCTGGTGACCTGGATAATAAGACTCAGCAGGCCTTTATGCTAACAATGATCAGCTGGAGAAGTGGTTTGACAAACCCTTGCCACCAAACAATCTAACTGACGACTGCAGTAGCAGTAAATGTTAAGACAGGATGGGGAATTACTGGTTAGAGGTAAAGGGGACAGTCTTCTGGTTCTGTGGCTGTATTTCCTTTTTATTGTTAAGATGGTTCTACTGGTTTGTTTGTTTTTTACCTTAAAGTGACCCTGTTGTTTCTTGTTTAGTTCTTGCTGAATGGAGCCTTTGTATTGGTATAAATTCTGGCTCTTCGTCCTATCTACTCTCTGTACTCTGCCCTGTAAGTTGCATCCCAAGCAATATTGAAGCTCACAGAGAAAATGAATTCAAAACTCCATAATAATTGTACTGGATGAATATGTTTACCACTTGAAAACAAATCACCTACAGTACCTCTTTACCATGTAAGCAGTGTAAGGTGACTTTGTGTTGGAGCATATTGCTCTCAGTGTTTTCCTCGTTTTATTCTTAACAGTCCTTACTATGTGGATTTATCTCCGGTGTAGATAATAGTGTAGCTCTTCGGCACAGATGCTGCTCTCCCCCTTGGTCGCGCCGGCTGCGGAGGAGGGGAGACGGTCGGCGCAGTGTAAGGGAGCTGAGGATGAAGCCAAGACGGCTACTAGCATGAAAGGAGGTTGGGTTCAGCCCGTTTGCGAAGGTTAATGAGCTCATTGAGAAACACGACGCATTCCCCCACAGGGGCTGTGCCCGCTCCGGCTGCAGCCCGGGACATGTGAGCTGAATGATAATGCGCGACTGTAGGCTTGACACCCCTCTGAAAAGCGTCCTTTGCCACCAAATCTAAACCTAGATCTGTAACTATTGGTCCCTCTTGATAATTAAACTGCCAGTCGACACGAAACACACCCCTCCCAAATGCAATTATACTCGGATGCCTTGGAGGGACAGTAAGAGGAAATCAAGGTGAGCGTTTTTTAATGGTTTAACATGAGATCTCAACTGAGCCCGCTTGTTAAGATGAGTGGGAGAAAGCTGCATTACTACAGTCAAACAGCTGTTATCTTAACAGGTTTATCTACAGCTAGCTTACGAGAGAAACCATATTATATTATTTTGCATGATCAGGAACTGAAGGCTGTCTTCCCAAAGCATACATCTCTATATAGCATTTATTTTGCGTGTTCTTGTAGATATCACACGGTTCCAGTAGAGGGCAGTCACACATGTATATTCCGTGTGCTGGCCTGCATTTTTGCATGACTGCTTCATAGCATAGGTTTCACACAAAAACATCCAATTGAATGATCAGCCTATTGAATGATCAGTCTGTTACCTTAACTTTTTAAATGTCTATATGTTAAAGGTCTGTACGTGGTCTTCACCTTTGTAAGGAGGAGCTGTTTTGTGCTTCTTAGTTGGTGGCATATCTCCATTGCTGGTGCGTTGAATCCGTCCAATGCTGGCTTTGTGTGCCATTTGCATGATCTGTCAATGTCACACACGAGATACTCTAGTTTCCTCCTGTAGTGCAAAGACATGCAGTCAGGCTAGCTGGTGTCTCTAAATTGCTTGTAGTATGTCATTACATGTGTGATCACCCCCTCCCCACCACCCCCCCAGCACGTAGATGATGTGGTGGTATTGTGTAAATAACCTTGTATCTTATATTAAAAAAAATATTTTTCCAAAAGCTTAAGATACAGGATTGCCGTTTACTTGCACACTGGGAATATGTGTTTCTTTATATATATCTTGTGTTTCACTCTGGTGTTAATGTGATTCACTGGCTAACACCGCAATCACATCCTCTAGTCGCCGGCCCAGCCGAATTCAGCATGCAGGGCATTGTGTCCAAAATGTTTGTGTCCCAGGACCTCTGACATGGAGAGCCTGGTGAACTACACCTGGCAAGCGATGACCTGCTGGGCCTGGAAGAGGCTGCAACCAGGCCCCTGTGCTTTTCTCATTAACAGTACAAAGGGTGAGGAAACAGTAACACGGTACTGTTCAAGGTGAATTCCGCCTACAGTCTCTCCTGCAGCCCCCTTGTGCAGTTTTCTACAGGACCTAGGCTATGACTGTCTTAATGCTTGGATTGTTAATGCAATTAACTATTTATAATAGACCAAAATTAATTACACCATCATTGAGCTTCCAGAAACTTAACTGTTACTTACTGCTGCCCTGTTGTGAGGGACATACAGGTGAGATAAGGATGACGCTGCCTGTGTTTGCTGCAGGTCCGGAACATTATCGCATCTTCCACTGGATCCTGCCCAGGTTTTCACTGATAAATCACTTCAGAAGAAATCGACAGGCTCACAGACCATCAGTCTGCTTAAGGCCTCCCCCCCACCCACAATTAAAGTAACTGTAGAGAAACTTGGACTAAATACATTCTTACCATCTGCTGCTATTAGTTTGATGCCCACGTGACACTTGACTTCACCAGTCCACTGCAGTGTCCACTTGTAGTGTCCCCTTAACTAACCTCTTTAGCCTCTTGCCTGGGTAATATTCAGATCATCTTTATAAGATTTTACTATTTCTTTAGAAATGTTCTCATCCTCCAGTTCACCTCTGACTACATTAAATGTTGCTTTTATTTAGTCTATATTAATTCGGCGTTATTAACCCCGGAGCATAGTGGCTGGAGTTCTGGCATCCCGCTCGGCTCTCCGCTTCCTCTGGTGGCATGGGGATATTACGATCATTTTAGTTTAAGACAACGATCGATTAACATATGTGTACGACAGAAACGGTAGTTAGAAAAGAAGTTTCGGCTACTTTTTTTTCATTGCAGCGCCTCAAACAGCTGTTCTTAACTGTGTACAAAACGATTGCTGTTTGAGTGGTCGGTTTAAAACACAAATTACCTCAGAATCAGTTTAACTTTACAAAAACACTCTTATACCGTAATATCAGTGTATTAATACCACATAAATGTGAAAATAAATTATAGTAACTCATTCTCAAGTTTCACTAAAATGAACTAAGTCCGCTATACACTTTACGTTTCTTGCCGTCGATTCAGTGTAGAACGTAAAATTATTCTAATATCTTACATTTTGACAAATTCAATTTGCCTCTGAATCGCTTTCCCCCTTATTATTACCGGTATTAAAGCTATTCTTAATCATTTAGTAATTAATCCATGTAATTGTCTTGTCAAGTTTAAAGAGTGACAAATTTAAAACGTAATTTTCCCAGGGTCCAACTTCCGCCTTATAGACCTAAGTAGGAGAACTTTGAAGTCAGTCTTGAACCTGACAGGAAGTCAGTGCAGGGAACTATGAGTAGCGGTTATGTAGTCATACTAGATAATACTGCGCATTACAATAGTCTAAATTACTTGTATACAAAAGCATGCGTTGCACAAAAAGTTGTGCACCATCCAAAAGCCCCTGTTAGTGAAGCTGACCTAGATATGGACTTTGACCCACTTTACATGTAATATTAAGTGGGAAAGGAAAACATCAATGGATTTTAATATGGTAGCTCTTTATAACGATTTTTTTTCAAATCATCTTATATAATCGCCAGATATGCTTTAAAATAAATCGTGTGATAGGTGGAATAAATTTACAAATAATATGACTTCAGACTAAACGCAAGTTGTGCTTTTTGTTTTAATTCATCCTCACGTGTAGCTCATGAGATATACCGAATTGTCTAATTTCCTCAGAGTGTTTTAAATGAATAAATGAAGTATGATTTCAAAGGCCGTGTGCTTCCTGTTAGGTGCCACATTAAATATAGGTCTATATATGTTTATCTCGGATCAGGAAAACCAGAAATAATTATACCAATAGGAATATAGAGAAAAGTAGAGGAAATGGTTCGGCAAGCACAAATTAAAACAAAAAAAAACTAATGACTAAAAGGAAAAGTGTAACTGATATTTTAAGATTATGATCAAAATTAGAAGTGCTCATCCGGCAATCCGCGGTCTTCATCGGGGCGGGAAGTCGTACTGCAGCTTAGACTGAGACTGTAGCTGGCAAATTCTGTTACAGTTCATGCCATTTTGGTTCCTTGTCACCCGGTTATTAAAGTTATTAACTCACTAATAAAATCTTGGCCTAAAACTTTATTGCCTTTTTCGCTGTTATTCCACCGCAGTCCCTGAATCCTGAA